TTTTTTTTCTTCTTCTAGTTTTATTGAACTACAGTTGATATACAGCCCGGTATAAATTTAAGCATAATGATTTGATTTACATACATAATAAAGTGAGTACCACAATAAGTTTAGTGAACATCCATCATCTCATAAAGACACAAAATTAAAGAAATAGAAGAAAAAAAATTTTCCTTCTGATGAGAGCTCCTAGGATTTACTCTTTAACAACTTTCATATATAACATCCAGCAGTGGTAATTATATTTATCATGTTGTACATCATATCCCTAGTACTTATCTTACAACTGCAAATTTGTACCTTTTGACTGCCTTCATCCAACTTCCCCTCCCCACACCTCTGGTAACCACAAATCTGGCTTCTTTTTTGATGAGTTTGTTTTCTGTTTTTGAAGTATAATTGACCTACCACACTATGTTACCTTCTAGTACACAATGTAGTAATTTATTATTTCTATACATTTCAAACTGTTCACCACATAAGTCTAGTTATGATATGTCTACATGGTCAAATCCTTAAGAGAGGTAAAGTCTAAATATTACTTGGTAAAAACCAATTCTAAAAAGTCTCAAAATTCAAACTCAGATCTCCTTTTTATGAGTTGGAAGTCCAAAGACCAAAGTTCTTAAGATAATGTCCAAAAACTAGCTCTTACTCTGCTCAGTTTTGTCAAAACTCCAGTGCTTTCTGAGTGATGGAGAAAAAAGGGAAAGACTCTTTAATTTTAGTCTTGTTAGGTTGTTGGTCAGTCACTGCTAGTTGTACAGAATCCATGACCTGTGAACTTAAATGCACAGAGGAGAAATGTTTTTGGCATTAGGTGTTGCCTGGTGTTAGAGAGAAAATCTGTCTGTGTATACCATCCACTCTGAAGGTGGCATGTGAGCTATCGCTGTCTTCTTTCAGAGTTTAGAAATACGCAGTAGAGGCAGCCCCAACCACCGCTTCTCATTTGACTTGCCCTTGCCCATTCAGCGTAAAAAGAATCTCTTAATTGTCATTTTTGCTTTTGAGTCACATGTCCCTATTTCCTCTCTGATCCTCCAACTCCCACCCTGTGTGGAACGAGATGAGGACTTTGTCTAGTTTCCTGGCCTTTACTATCTCTTGTAGAACAGACACTTTCTATGCTTCACTAAATATAGTTAATGCTTCCTCTCGGCAGGTTCTGCATCCGCAGTTGGCCGAGTCCACAGAGGTGGAAACCGCAGGCAGAGGGGCCCCCCGTAAGGGGACTGAGCATCCTGGAATTTTGGTAACCGTGAGGGTTCCTGAAACCAATCCCTTGCAGATACCGAGGGAAGACTATCTTTTTTCCATGCCGTCTTACTGCGAAACTGCTTAGGTCTGGACACCTGCCCCTGTTAGGGATTCTTCCTTCTCCCCATATTTGTTGTTTTTGGGGAATCACATTCAGCAGACTCCTGAGCAAAGCTGCTATTGATGCTTCTAAAGTATGTGTCCCAGAGGCTCAGAGACCAGCCACGCCTCTGCTGGGTGCACCTCCAGATACACTCCCTCTCTGCTTTTGGGGGTTCTAGACCTTGGAGAGCTTTTCCTCTGCGGCAGTTTTGCCTCAGTCCTGGTTGTGCCTGCAGTGTTTTATCTTCCCTTCCCTGCTGCTCCTCATCTTTGGGGAAGGTTTAATTAATCTCTAACAGTTGACTCCGCTTCTCAAGCTAGTCCCCTTCTTTCTCAAATTGTTTGCTGGAATTGAGAATGTGCCTTCCTTTCACATTTTCTTCGCCTTCTGGCCCAGATACTTGTTCTCAATCACACTCCTCTGGATTTTGTATTGGAAGGTGTTCCATAGTGAAAAATACCAAATCAGTCGATGAACGGAGAAACGTTCACTTACCTGTGTTTCGCTTGTCAGTAACAAGAAAGGGACAATGGAAACCCCCTAAACAGAAGACCGTCAGATGCACTGTGCCAAGTGTGAGAAACCAGACTCAAGAGGTGGCATACCGTGTGGTTCCGTTTATGTGGAAATCTGGAGAATTCGTGTACAGATGTTCTGGTAAAGGCAGAACTGTTGTGACAGAAAACAGACCAGTGGTTTCCAGGGCCTGAGGGTAAAGGTAGGGGTTGACTACAAAGAGGTGAGGGAGGATTTTGGAACAAATGAAAT